AATAGTAGACCAGGACATTACTAAAAGTGCTGAAACCCATAATTCTCCTTCTACGTCAACACCTGAAGTGATAGAAACTCGTGCTACTGTTAGTACTACTAGAACAACTCCTGATAAAGAAATTACAGGGTCGTGTGAAGGAAAAATTGTACAAAAGAGATCTACAACATTAAATTCATTTTTTTTATAAGCCAGTGTCTATTAAAAAACGTGATGATTTGAACAAACTTTTAACCACTATGTTGGTGAAAAATTCTTTGCCGTTCCAATTACTGGAAAATCCGCATTTAAAAGATTTTTTGCGTGAACTTAATCCAGGATATCAGGTACCATCTCGCAAGACTGTGAGCAAGGTGATACTTCCGCAAATGTATAATCATTTAAAAGAAAAGGTCCAGGAAAAACTTAAAGACACCGATGCGATATGTTTAACTACAGATGTGTGGACATCTGTAGCTAACGAAAGCTACATTTCAGTGACTGCGCATTACATTAATAAAAATGTTTTAGACTCTGCATTATTACAGTGTTACAAGTATACCGCAAGTCACACTGCAGCAAACCTTTCTCAAGAGCTGCAGAGAATAACAGGTGTATGAGAAATTAGTGAAAAAGTTGTTGCTGTAGTTAGTGACAACGCTTTTAATATAGTTGCCGCAATAAATTTAACTAAATGGGGGAACGTTCCGTGTTTTGCACATAAATTTAATCGTTCAAACTGCTCTGAAAGAAATTAAAGAGACTCAAACCAAAATCAAGAGTATAGTTGAATTTTTCAAAGGAAGTCTTCAAGCAAGTGAAAATATTAAGGCAATGCAGTGTCAGCTAGGAAGAGAAAATTGCCTAAAAGTTAAACAAGATGTCCCGACTAGGTGGAATTCAACATTCATCAGCGCATTTTGGAAATTAAAGAAGCTGTCATGTCTACAGTAGCAATAAATTATCCACATCTTTTAAATTTAAACAATAACGATATATTAATTTTAGAAAAATGTTGCGAGATATTGAAAGTATTTAAAGATGTCACTGAGGAAGTAAGCAGTGGAAAAACTGTAACTACTTCTAAAGTTATTTTATTCAGCGCAAGCCTAAAAAATATTTGCAAAAATTATTTAGACGAAAATATGCCAGATGAAATTAAAAAATTAGCTACTGCACTTCTTTCTGAAATTAATAGAAGATTTCGTGATATTGAAAAAAACAAATTTTTTGCGTATGCCACTCTATTGGATCCCAGATTAAAAAAATATGGATTTTCAGATCAAGGTTGTTTTGAAACAGCAATAGAAAATTTATTTAAACAGATGAAAATTATTGTTGAAGCAATGAAGCAAGCAAAATGTTGAAGACGGACCTGTAGCTGAATCGTCGAAAGCATCAACATCCAAAGTATGGGAGAAATTTGATAAAACTGTTACAAATTTGATGGCAAGATCCAATAAGACGACAGCTTCAATAGTTGAAATGGATAAATTTTTAGATGAACCATTGTTGTCTCGTTCCGGCGAACCTTTGAGATGGTGGGATGAAAGAAAATGTGTCTATTGTAGACTATACAAATCTATACGTAGCGTTGATTTTTTCCAAAGCAGGGCAAATTATTACTGCTAAACGAAATGGTTTAGAAGGTGAAAAAGGCTCCCAAATTATATTTTTAAATTATAATTTGTAATAGTAGGTATCTACATAATATGCAAACTTTTTTTTAACTATTATCTGTAACTGCATTTGAGATAATTTTGTTAATTTATACATTTTCGGCTCACTTATTCCTATTGTATTTCTGTCGTCGTAATCAGTCAACGTTATATGGAGAATTCACACATTTGTAGTCCAATCGTGAGCCGTGGTATTTACCTCTAACTCTAGAGTGTGGAGTGGAACAATCGATTTCGAGTATTGCGTGCTCGGCTCGTTCAATGTTCAGTGCTCGCTCAATGCCGGTATGAACGATTAGCTCCTTCGTTGCGAGTCGTTCGTTCACGGCACAAGGTTATGTGCCGACACATTCGTGCGAGTCGTTCATGAGCGACCCAGCTCTATACTATGCTCTCTCTATGCCCTCTCTATGCTTTATGCTCTCTATGCTCTCTATGCTCTCTCTATGTAGTCATTTGAATGGCCCAGTTGGGAGTCTGCACGACAGATGGAGCCATTCATTGGCTCCCGCGTACAATATACTTCCTCTTCATGATGATACGACAAAGAACAGCTAGGTTGTTTGTCGATTGTCGCACCTATGACACACTGATAAGGACTAATAAGTCCGAAACCGGTCTGTGCCTGGTGGGTTAAACTGACAAACGATCCTAGCTGTTGTACTAGGTGTCGCGAGTATAATTCAATGCCGGTAGGGGCAAATAGCTCTCGGAGTAGTTGTTTCTCGAGGCACTGACGACTCAAACATTGGGTTACGCCCTCTGTGGGTGGCAGTCGTGCGACAAAGTACCTGCAGTTAGCAGGTCGCTTCCTACTGTAGTCATTTGAATGGTACAGTTGGGAGTCTGCACGACAGATGGAGCCATTCATTGGCTCCCGCGTACAATACTCTTTCTACAATTTGGTTTTCGTACCTTCCATTTCGTAAATTAGACCGAAAGTTTTCAGTGTCTCCTAATCTGGTGAATATATAAGAAAAGGCTGTCTGCGATACGAATAATGTTCTTCATATGTTCTCTTAGCAGTGCATTCACTAAAGTGTTCCTGTAAGTACATATACCACTATCATAATTCGTAAATTCATTGCGACTAGGCATTTTCAGAAATAAACTTTTACAAAATACAAACTTGACAGTGACTTATCGAAATTGTCATTGTTGTTATGGATATGTAGTTATTTCCAAAAAATATGGGTTGAGTGTTTATAAATATTTTCTGTAATATCTTCATAACCGAGCATAATTTCGACTTTTGATAGGTATACACTTTTTTATAGAATAAAATTCTCTACATATCTCTGATAGTTGCGTGTAAAAAACGTACAAAAAAGTTACAGAAGAATATTCACAAAGGGTTGTAGGAAAATGAACGCCCTGTATGATTTCACCTAATAGGAATATAATCACTTCATGAAGAGAAACCAAGTAACATCATATTTTGCTCAAATCAGTTAACTGGGTTCTGAGTTAAGGAGAAAACAAGAAATAAAAAAAACAACTTTAACATCCTGTAATTTTTTTGCTACATTTTTCGTTTAAACAAGTTTGGGTTCTGGATTGTCCCCTTGAAGTATGTAACATTATCAAGATAACTAAGTTGATAACTCATATAACATAAAAGCTAATCTTTATGGAAACCCGTTTAATCTACAAAAAAATATACCAGAAACCGAATCTGGGATATTAGTACGATGTAAACGATAATATTTTATGAGAGGGAAACCTATAAAATCTCATTAATATAGAGACATTCAAACGCAGAGTGGTGCCCATCTCGCACATGTTAGCGATTTTTGATTTGGTAAAGAGCCACGTTTAAAAATAAATACGTTATTTACTTGCAAGGGCCAGATCACTCAGAGCGAAAATTGAGAATAGGGTGCGTACAAAAAGTTAATTAAAAAACGCGTAATGAAGTGCAAAAATTACTGTGAATTCGAGATATATACAAAAGTTTTGATTAGAAATGGCCTATCGAAATAAGGAAAAGGTCTTTTAAATGAAATAACTTCTTTTAACAATTAAAACTCCTCATATGCCTCCTTATTCCGACATGACTGATTAATTTCTATTTAAATTTGGCATGAGCAAATTGCTCTGTACCAAATTTGAAGCGTGTATTTTCAGTAGATCAGAAGTTGTGTTTCACAATGTTCGAAGGATTATAGAGCCCTTAGGAACGGTTATAGGAAATATCGTTAAGATAGAGACTATTAGAAATAAAGGGTGGCTCAAATATAGTATATCAGTATATTCTTTATAATTCTTGTTCTTCACACCTATTCTTCACACCTAATGCAAATAGTTCATGGAGTTCCCCAAGGCTCAGTATATTTACCAAATTGTGATATAACTACTGATTTTATTTTATTTCCCGATGATACTACCGCTTTAAAGTCAAATAATAACTTAACTAAACTCACAGTTGATACGCTGCCGCTGATAAAGGACTGCTGGTTTATTGCTAATAGATTGAACTTAAATGTTGCCAAAACTCAATCTTTGCTGTTTACACTTCGCCATATCAATACTTGTGATAACTCAAATAGCATTAAATCTCTTGGAGTTCACATCGACACTAAATTGAGTTGGGAAAAACATGTTAATGATTATCCGCAATTTATCTAAGAATATTTTAATTTTCCTACTGCGTAATTTGAATCGTGTAGTATCTAAGCCTGTACTCATAAAAAAAACATAAAACACACCACATAAATGAGATCATATCTGCATATTATGGCACTTTTTCATGCCACTATGACTTATGCAATTTTGTACTGCTAAATATTCTTACAATGCCGTCAGTTTACATACTTGAATGCCTCATTTATATAAAACATAATCAGAATAGATTTGTTCGACAAGAAAATTTTAATTTCCATCATACAAGGGAGAGACACAATATTAGGCCAAAATTTCATAGATTAGCGAAATTCAGAGATGGCACAAATTATTCACAATAGACTTCCATCTGAGATTCGATCACTAAATTCAGACTGTTTTAAGGCCAGAATTTGAAAATATCTTAAGAGAAAAGCGTTTTACAATGTTGATGAGTTCTTTGCTGACCAGTTTTTAGATACATAATGAATGTTTGTAATATTTACTTGTTTATGCTGTTTACGTTATATTTATCTGAATGTGTTTTTTAGCTTTAGTGTATTATTGTTTATATGTTGTATCTTGTATCTTACGTTTTTTCTTTCTTTGACTTCTGTGAACATTTTAATGTATCGACACCAATAAATGATTTGATCTGATTTGATTTGAATATGTTGTTGTCAGGTTTAGATATATTCCAATAGATCCTTGTACTACTTGTCAATGATATTAAAAATAAAATTAAATGCTTGTTATTTTATTAGTCATGTATATATTATGGATTATTCCATTCAAATTGACTTTTCTGTAGATGTTGTGTTGACATTGGAAGAGGTTCCTTTCTATCTGCAGTATCCAGCTACCCATCCTGGTTCCTTGTGGCAGTATAATGAACAACAGTTCCCTTGACTTCCGTCAGGTTGACAGCCGTTACCATTGGCGATGCAGGCGTAGACCGACTGCTGAAGGGCCATAAGGGCAAAAACAACAACGAAGAAAAGATAGAAAAACTTCATCTTAAATAATCTGGAAACGTACAACATAAAATATTAGAACAGTAATACAGCCAAAGATCTTAAAGGTAGTTTAATAATATACTACTAATGGAAAAAATTAAAATAACAAAAATATGTTTATGCATGAAAAATTGCCATACCGAGACGATAAGAAACGCATTTTGAAGCTTTAAGCCTCTATTTTCAAGATCTTCGGACATACATTTTTTTATTTTTTTTTCCTTCGAAAACCATGACAGATTCTTGTTTATTTATTTATTTTAGTTTTCAAAACTGCCTTTAGATTTGCCGTACAATATTTTTTTGCAGAGGTATCGATAATTAAAGGTAAAAGTGCTACTTTCCATTTAAGCATCGATATCTTGGCAACCTAAGTCGGCCGGAGGTCTTTCAAAAATCAAACTGAAGCGGAACAAATAAGCTAACTGGCCTCTGTCTTGATTGAGTTTAAAAAAAAATCTGAGTGATTTCCTTTGATTGCTCAATAACCGTAGCTCAAAAAAATTTTTTATCTTGAAATTAAAGATTTAAAGCTTCAAAATACTATTTTTAAAATCTCGATACTACCATTTCCACTGAGCTACGAATATCACTAGAAAAATTCGAGAAAATGTCCTTCTCTTTAATTTTTTCCAGTAGTGGACAAGATTATCAAACAGCGAAAGGTTAACTTATATGAAAGAAAAATAATACAATATATTCAAAAAATAACTAACTCTTTCTCGAAAATAAAAGGTCTGCAAACTTGGGTGCAATACAAAATTAGTTCAATATCAAACACTAATACGTCTAAGTATCACTTTTTGAACAATGTCATAGTGTGTAGTGTAGTAGTGGACATATAGAAATATAATGTAATATTTGAGGTTACTTCACTTATGTGAAACAAAACAAAGTATAAAAGGTTAAAAACGTATTACTTACTGTTACTGAAGATGTACAATAACTGATGCAGATTCAGGTTCTTTCTGATATTTATAATAATCTTCTATCTGCACACTACACAACATACTAGTATGCAAAATATTATGAGTTACAAAACGAAAACTCTGACTTGGTTCTCATTAGATATTCCTTAATTATCGCAAAATTTCTGAAAATTAATGTAAGTATGTTAAAGTGGTTTTTTTCCATTTTATTGAAAATAACAATTTTTATTATTTCGTATTTTTGGCATAAATTTGAATTCGGTTACAATAAATTATAAAACATATTTGCTTACAGAGTAGAAAAGAAAAGGTTAAGTTACAATAGAAATATAATAACTATATGAATTTGTTTTCCTTCATAGTTAGCTATATTTAATCAGATTCTATTTGGTAGGGCATTAGTTTTTTGATGACGGATAAAATCATGCGTTAGAAAAAAAAGGAAATCATCTTTTTTAACAAAGTCATGGCCAGCTATCGTTTCCACCCATTACGTACGCCACTGGATACCAAAAATTAGTCTACAAGAAAAAGTATCAACATATAAAAAAAGAACAGCTGTAATTGTTGTCACCCAAAATATCAAATTCTAAATTTTAAATCTATAGTCTGTTTTTACCTAATATTTCAAGTATCAATATTTTGTCTTTATTATTAAAGACAAAATGTTGTGTTTTTAGGGATGTTTATATGCCTTTGGTGATGGTGGGGAGGTAGGCAGCATATACGGGGATTGAGAGCTGAAAGAAATAACGAAGGAAAATTTAAAATAGAAGGAGGTTGAAAGCCTTAAAAATAGTAAGCCAGAGCTAGTTAAGAAGAACCATAGTCATAATTATATGGCTGAACAGGATATTCTCCATGTAGACAGTTATAGCGATTCCGAAAAGTTGTGGAAAGAAACTGACAGAAATTTACAAACAAAACGGCATTTTTCACGTCTCGATACCCATTGAAGACGGAAAGGAATACGGATCTAATGGTGTCCTCATCATATTGAAAAACATAACCATTTCACATGTAATGAATCCATAAGAAGCCATTTTTCTCAAAAACCAAGCATTTCATTTAACAATAGTAAGAGACATTTTTGCTGTAGAATAAACTGCAATGTAAAAAAATATTAATTTTAAAAAATTTCCAGTGGCGTAGAAATTATACTAAAAATAGAGGTTATCAGAGCCGCTTACGGACGCCTATGATTGATTTATTTTCATGATAATTTGTAAAATCGATAGAGCTTCATACTAAATATAAAACAAATGGCTTTCGCAGTTTTAGAAAAAATAATATCAAAAAAAAAAAATGATTTTTCAAGAGCTTATATCTCTAAAAGGAAGAAAACATCAAAGTGACATTATCTTGGCGAGATCTATAGATGTCTAAAGACCTAATCATAAAAAAGGAATCACCATGTATATTATACATGCAAGTAAATGATTTACGTGCGTATAGGTATAAGCTGTTTATAATATTAAAATAAATAAAATATAACCTTCCTTCTTCTTCATCTTCTTCATCATCTAGTGGTTGGTCCTAATAAGTACCATAGCAGCGGCCTAATTAGGCCTATTGTGCGTCCCACTACTAGTCCTATTCAGCAAGTAGATTTGTCCTTTTTACAAAGTCCAAAAGCTTCCTTGCTGACACTTCTCTCAGTTCCTTGGGTTCCAAATAGGGTCTCCAAGAAGCGCCATTCTACTACGTGCAAATCCCGGGCACTCGGCCAGGAAATGCAGAGAAGTTTCATCCGCCGATTCACATCCTCGGCAGACCGGACTGTCTACAAGCTTTAGCTTATGTAGATGTTTCCTAGTCCTGTCACTCTCCTGAGCCGGATTCTGTTCAAGCTCAGTAGATTGTTCGCTCTTTCCTTCGAAGGATACTCCATGAGCTCCTTAGAATGGCTATGTCCTGGTCTTGAAGTCCAGTATTTCCTGTGTTCTGTCTCAGTCCATTTGCCCAAAGCCCGCCTGACCACACCGGGAGATGTGCCACAGAAGGGCTCCGGGCCAATGAACTCTGTCTCGGATCCCTTCCTAGCAAGTTCATCCGCTTTCTCATTTCCACAAATGCCTTTGTGCCCTGGCACCCAACAAAGTCTGACTGTATTATTGGTGGCCAGTTCAGTCAGCATTTGTAAACAATCCCACACCAATTTTGAACTTACTTTGTGTGCGGCTAAAGCTTTAATTGCAGCTTGACTATCAGAGAATATATATATGAGTTTACGTCTATAACCTCTACGTACATTCTCTGCTAGACACGCCATTATCGCGAAGATTTCTGTTTGGAATACGGTAGGGAACTCCCTCAGACTATAGCTTGCACTCCGTCTGGGTCTGAGTCCATATATTCCTGCACTCGTCCCTCTGGTCATTTTGGAGCCATCTGTAAACCATACTAGGCTCCACCTTTCCAGGGTATTAAACCTTTCCTCCCACTCTATTTGAGTCTCAAATGGCTCGTGGAAGTTAAACCTTGGGACCATCTTGTCGGATACCATCTCAAAAGTTGGTTCCGACATAGATGTGTCTATGATCCTGGAATGGGAACCACCCCTCCAGTCATTGTTATTCCTGAGTCGATATGCTGCTAGCCGCGCTTCTCTTTCCACCACTATATGCAGCGGTGGTAGATTTAGCATGACTTCTAGTGCAGCTGTCGGGGTCGATGCCATTGCCCCCGTTATACCTAAACAGGCCAATCTCTGAATTCTATTCAGTTTTCCCTCGCTGTGGTCTGTTGTGTTTTTACCACCATACCACAGCGCCGTAAAGAATCCTAGGTCTTACTATCGACGTATACAACCAGTATGACATCTTTGGTTTCAGTCCTCAGGTGCTCCCAATAAGGCGACGGCATACACACAATGTCTGCTTCGCCTTACTCACCACTTTTTCGAAGTGCGCATTCCAGGTAAGCTTATTATCCAGTATCACTCCTAGATATTTTACTTCTCTGGAAAGTATAATGCTCCTCTCCCCTATTATAGGTTCAGAGAGTCCAATTAAATTCCTTCTCCTGGCGAAGGGCACTACGACCGTTTTGTCAGTGTTTACTGACAGTGCCTGCCCCTTACACCAGTCATTTATCAAATATAACCTTAGGAGAAGATCAATCGAATTGAATAAATATATTTTTCGTCAAAACGTACTTTTATATCCTGGTATATCCAAAATAAGATGTAATGTATGATATAAATAAATTTGACGTATTTAAACGAAATTATAATAATTATAGTTGACACATTTTGAGACGATGTTAAACATTTGCTTTGATTAATAAATATGTATGTTCTCTTTTGATAAAGAAAGTGACCACCAACTCCAGTACATCAGATTTCAATCCAGTTAACCTTTGTCATCGAATTGCCAAAAATTAAAATTATAATCGAGGGATGTATATCAAACAGAAAATATATAAAGAATCAATATAAAGGTATGCTATAAATCATAATCATCATCATTTTCTTTCTTATGCGGGATTTAATTGCTTTTCTCACGAGCTCTACTTGGTGCTAAAGTTTGTAACGCCTGTTCAAACACACCCTGTACAATTCATATTTAGTACTTTTTACACTTTCTTAGTACTTCTACAAATTATGTTCTCTTATTCGCAACTGGAAAAACCCATCGACGTAGGCACTCAACAAATTTCAAGAAATAGCAGTAAGATAAAAAAGTAGGCAGATATTCCAGGTCACAGGCCTTAATACTTAAGTCCTTCGAATGCATTATGCAGTTTGCGTGTTACTATATATAGTTAAGGCCGCTGAGGCAACAACAGTCTCAGAAAATCCACTACCGAAGTAGAATCTGGTAAGTATCGCTGATATAGCTGTTATTATGTTTTTTTTTAAATTTTATTATTATTATATTTTACAATAAATAATCTGATATACAGAATGGTTTAATGCTGTTTCTTCACAGTTTGGGCACACCTAAATGGTAAAAAGATAATGAAAATCGTTATATCCAGCAAAAAATATTGAAAAATAACGTTTTGCGATTCAACTGTTTGTCATGATTACAAATCTGTAAAATTCAGTAAGCACTAGAAATTTATAAAAATATAATTTTTATCAAAGTGCCATTTATATATGAGATAAAACAAAATGTTATAAAGTTAAGTTTCTTAGAACGAAAAACTGAATAAATGTCTTCAGTGTATTAGGCCTAATTTGACTTTTTTCCTTGATTTTAGATTTAGTGCTCCTGCTGCATGAGATACCACAAAATGTGGAGAATGAGAATCTTCGAAAGTATCTATAATTTTTTAATGTCTGCTTAATTCTAAATTTTTCACAAACTAGGCACAAAGTATTAAAATTTTGCATGATCACTCAATTCATCTAGAAATCATTTTGTAGCAGGTTTTATTAGCGAAAGAACATGAAGTAAGCAAACAATCAAAGTAGGCCTGACATTGAAACTTTACTAAACACTCAGTTTTTCAATCTGACAATATTTTTTTATAAATTTTGTGGTATAAAATACACAAATGGAACTATGTTAATGAATAAAATCAGATTTTTCAAAATTTTGAAGGTTTACCGAACTTTACGAATGTAAAATCATGGCAAATTTTGTTTTATAAATAGAGTTGAATTCCGAAAGGTCATGTTTAATTTATATGGTAAAATACATATTTTTTTAATTCTTCCCAGATGCACAATATTCCACTGTTTTTTCGTTTTCTGAAGAAAAAATAATTTTTTAAATTTATTTTCAGTTTCCAGATTCATTATTGTCGTCGAAGATTTAAGTGGGATTTACTAAAAAACAAAAATATAAAAACTTACTACTGCTTTATAAAAATAATTATTTGTGCAGATTTTTAATTTTCCAATAATTTTCTCAAAAATTGTATTGTTTGCAAAAAGTGTGAAAATATCACAAATTTTAGTCTTCGAAATATTTTTGAAAACCAGTACTTTATTTTTGCTATATAGCTTAATAAATAAGCATATTTTGTTTTTTTAAACGTAAACAGAATTGTATGGAATTAGGCAGCGTTCAGAAAAGCAAAACCAGTTAAAAAATTTTGTGAAGCATTAAAATTTTGTTTTCATAAAACGTCTTCCTTACAGATAATTCAAGATGAAATTCTTCAACCTCTTTTTCATTGTCGTCCTTGCCCTTGTGGCCCTCCAACAGACCGCCAATGCTTGCATTGCCAACCGTAATGGTTGCCAACCTGACGGCAGCCAAGGAAACTGTTGCTCAGGATATTGCCACAAAGAACCTGGATGGGTTGCTGGATACTGCAGATAAAGGGAAATTGGACGCAGAACAGATATGGTGTAAATTGAACGAATTGGTGAAGTTTTGTTATTGGGCTTAAGTTTGTTATTGATTATTTCCATTTTAGAAAAAAAAATAAAAAAAATCAATGTCGCACAATTTGTTTTGTAAAGTCTACCCACTTCCTACAGATAACCTGATCAATTCCTAGTTTTGGTAAAAACAGTAATAACAATAATAATGGATATTTACTGACCTTTTATATGGGACAAGTCAATATTACAAAAATATTGCAGCGGCCACAGACAACCTGAATAAATATTTCAAAAACTAATCACGTTAGCCTTGATTTTTTATAGGCATAATGTTGGTCCCCTGATTACGCAATTTTGCCCCGATTTAAGCTAGTTTGTATCTCTTACCGTTTTCGAGATCCCTGTAGTGACAAGCGAATTTGTAACAGCCTGTGTATGTTACATATTAAAATTTTAAAAATAAAAAAAATCCGAAAAAATCTTAACCGTTTCTAAATTAAGTACCACTAAAAATTATGAAAACAACTATTTTTTTAATATCTCGTAAACAAGAGACACCAAAAATTAGGACATTTCATTTAAAGGCCCACTATCACTCCTCCGTTTGCAGTTGTTATTGTTATTAAAAAACATTTTTAAAATCTTAATCTCATTTGTGACACCCTGTAAAAGTAATGAAGTAAAGGTGATTGCAAAAAGTTATTTTTTATATAAGAATAAGAAAAAAAATTTATTAGCTTCGTAAATAAAACATCTCAAGGAAAATAGGGATCATTGGACATATTGAGCGACTTCTAAGAATTCGAGTATTTTTAAATAATTAAATGAAGGTCAGTGGCATTGCTGCATTATTAATGTTTCATCTTTTTATTGAATTGTACAAATAAATACCCAGACGCTTCTGAATAAATGTGTCATACCGTGTTTTGAGTGACTTCATTAAGTAAATTATTGTTTTTAACTATTGTACGTTTACTGACAACAAGAAATATGTTTACTTGTTGCATTTGCACATATAAAAAATGTCTAAGTGAAACATTGAGACAAAATGAAATTAAGTTGTTAAATTTAACATCGCCTTTAAATATAAGAGAAAATACTATATATTAATAGTTTTAAATAAACGGGTAAATGTGAGGAGATGAAGAAGCTGTCAATGGAAAATATAGAAACATAATTTTGCGACAAAGCCTCAAGAAAAAAAAAAGGAATAGAAAAAATGTTATTAATTTTTCAAAAAGTAAAGGTGAATCAACCGCAGTGTTTTTGCTGCCTCTTTCTTTTTTCTTTTAGGTGAACTTTCATAAAGGTTTCCTATTCTTAAAATTAATGTTTTTGATATATTCAACTTCTTTAAAAAAAAAAATGAAATAGCACTACCTAATTCAAAAAGATGAGTATTTTACAGTATTAAAGTTAGAGCGATACAATTTATAGGGGGCATAACAAAAACTCTAAGCTTTCCTACCATAATTTCAAAATAACTTAATTTCATACAGGGTGCTAAAAATTTAATGCCGAATTTAGTCAACTTTAAACCATCTTAACTTATTTTTATTTAATGGAACACCCTGTATATTTTTGCGCAACCTAATGAACAATTTTGTTCTCTTTTGAATGGTATAATGGTTCCCTATACCTATCACTTCTGGTTTTTAAGGTAGGTATTTACTATTTTTCGTGCAGTCAAATTCGTAAAATTATGTATTATTCGTAAAATGTGTCTACTCATTGGTGGGAAATGAGTATTGCTCTCATACCCTGCAAGTTCTATTTATTATCTTGTAACACTCTGCATGAATAAATAATAAATTTAGAATGTCAGCATTTGGATAAATGTTACGTTTTCCATTATTTAACAATAAATAAAACTCAAATAAACATTCACTATATGTGTTAAATTGACAACAATAAACTGGTGACAGATTAGGTGCTTTTTTTGAAGTTCCACTAAAAATTTCACAGCCATCCTCGCAAGCAATTATGCTATATCCGTCATTTTGAAATTATGGCAGGGAAGCTTAGAGTTTTTGTTATGTGCAATATAAATTTCATCGCTCTAACATCTTTTTAAGTTAGGCAGTGCTTTATTAATTTTTTTATTTTAATTTGTGGAAAACCGTACTTATCTTATCAACTTCGACGTCACCTTTTACATGAGTGTTGTATAATAATGAAAAAGTAATATTAACGGTTGGTAGAAGGAAGCGCAAAAAAGCAAACGCCTAGGTGGGGCATTCTGGAAGGAAGCCTAAATAGTTGAAGATAGGCAGTTGAAGTGAGAACAGTGTGCAGATAGGTAGCAAGACGATCGGCGGGTAGTGTGACAAAATAGTGGAAAATGAAAAGTGTTTAACCGATACCTATTAGTTAGCAGATAATATTCTTTAAGTACTTTGTTGTTAATTGTTCTATGTAATCTTATGATTGTAATGGTTATAGACGATTGCTCATTATTTATTACATGTTAAAATATGTATATTTTGTCGTGGCTGCCCAGATTTGCAATAACAACTACTTTGTTTCACAATTAACTTGTTTTATCATGATTACGTTTTTCTTTGATTTCTTGTGCTCACTTTATGTCATACGCATGTAAGAGCTTTGTTGAATTTACTAACATTTTTGCCCATGATATTAAATACAAAAAAAGAATTGCTCTGGATTGCCTCCCATATGGGACTCCAGTACCTTACCTATTTATTATTATTATTATTATTGTTGTTATTATTGTTATTGTTCTTCCGAAATCTCAACTATAGCTGAATTGCCTCCCGTATGGGACTCCAGTACCTTACCTATTATTATTGTTATTATTGTTGTTATTATTACCTTCCGGCCCTGCCGGCTAACTAACACCAAACCTATTCAGTTTTACTTGGAAGTGTCTATGTCTGATTCGAGTGAGGTGACATTAGTGACACATTAAATAAGTCAGGTCTTAATTATAATTAGCAAAGGTTCTTAATTTATGCCTTTGGTTAGCGGTTGTTTTGTATTTATATTTAGGTGGTTAGAGCAACGATCGTGGGTTTCTCTGCCATGCTCTTTCCCCACAGGAGCTGTAGGTGAGCCTGGTACTCTCATTTTATGTTAAATGGTTGTTAATGTTTTTGTTGTTCTTTTTTAATTGTCACATGTTTAATTTGAAGACTGTTGTACGTAAATAACAAAGTTAGGTGTATTTACTCTGCTTTTGTTTTTATAAAATTAAACTATACATCCCCTCTTTAAAGTTAGTAATCAGCGCCTTCCGGTCAATTAAAAATAGATGTATACAACGTAGGTATTACTTATGACGAGCACATATTTTTGGCCACAACTACGTTTATGTTTCCTTTTTTTTTATCGAACCTGGGGTTGTTATACTACAAATTAAATATATCAAAAACGGTTAACTTTAAGAATATGAAATCTTTATGAAAGTTCACCTAAAAATTGACGTAGGATCCAAAAGTGCAATAATATACAGGGTGTTCCATTTAAAATAACGAAGATTACGTCAACTTCCGGTATAATCGGAAGCGTTAGGTGGAGGCCATTATTTTAATTGAGAAAGGCATGTTCGAAAACACTATTGCCCAAATTTTCAAAATTAAAATAGAAGTAGTCTTTGAAATAAGTCTAATGTCTTGTCACCGTGGGATACCCTGCATGTATACCTTCAATCAGCGATGCCTGCAATATACAATAATTGGCCTTCTATATTGACAGTTTCCTCATCGTCGTCTTTTCGGCTTTATCTGAGACTCAATCTGGCCTCTATAATGTACAGGATGAGTTTTTTTCGATGTTTATTGTAGGGATCTGGGAAAGTAGCAAAGATATAAAAAAGCTTAAGTGAGGAAAGATATGCAGTTTTACGATCCTTATTAACTGTTACTTTTATTTTTTGAAAAAATGTCATGGCTAAACAGATATTTGGAAAAATCAGAATTCAGCCAATTTCTTCAGATGCGTGTAGTTCCGTTACTATTTATTTTACAAAAAAGTTTTAAATTACAAATTTTCAGGTTTTTGCAGTGTTAATAAGACAGTGTGATCAAATTGTTCGTGTGCACTCTCGTTTTCAAGTTAAAATTTAAACTTCAAGTTTTTAAATGTAAACCATACATAAAAAGAACTGCAGTTGATTTTTCAAAATAACCATACCAAATATTATATCGTTGGAAAGCATAAAAAAGACATGGTTTTTCTAGCTCATAGCTAACTATGGTTTACACTTAAAAAACTTGAAGTTTATGTTATAACTTGAAAACGAAAGTGCACACGAACAATTTGATCACACTGTCTTATTAACACTGCAAAAACCTGAAACTTCCTAGTTTATTTTTTTTGTAAAATAAATAGCAACGGAGCTACACGCATCTGAAGGAATTGACCGAATTCGAATTTTTTCAAATATCTAGTCATGACGTTTTTTCAAAAAATAGGTGTAACATTTAATAAGGATCATAAAACGGCACATCTTTCCTCGTTTAAACTTTTTTGTATATCTGCTACTTTCCCAGATCCTTACATTAAACATCGAAAAAACTCACCCTGTATAGCTAGCTATCGCTCTCGTTCTCACTAGTTGCAATATGCACTCCTGCAGTTCGCAGCAAGTGGTTGCGCTCTACTTCGAAAAACCCCCTGTTCTCGTTTTTCCCCCATTTAACTCTTTTTTCCTATATCCTTCATATAAAAAAGCATTTATCTAAATCGATTTTTTCAAAATTCTGTAGTGGCGTTACCCTTTAATTTTTTAATTTAATATGTAACTTTGTCGGACTTGTTGGAGTTATAAAGAGATAACTTTTTATAAACTCCATGATTCTGATTCTGTTTTGTTAAGTATCAAACATTTAAGTATAATGTCTGTTGATGAATGCAGCTAACGTCAGCTGTAAAGATTGTTAATATGTCAGTTTTTATATATAAACTACTGATAAATAACAAGAATATTACCGGTGGTTACCGATGAAACTCTAAAAATAATTTATTTTCAGTAAAATCAAAGTTTAATCAGTCGAATATGCATTTTAGATCAAAACAGAAATCTGTCACATGTTTACCACTATCAAGTCACTTACAAACAAGCTCCAATTGGTTCACGTTACCCCAGTAGTAATGTATCAA